TCTCTTACACTAGTTCATAGCTATATTATCAACCAAATCTCTTACACTAGTTCATATCTACATTACCAACCAAATCTCTTACACTAGTTCATAGCTACATTATCAACCAAATCTCTTACACTAGTTTATAGCTACATTACCAAACAAATCTCTTACACTAGTTCATAGCTACATTACCAACCAAATCTCTTACACTAGTGCATAGCTACATTATCAATCAAATCTCTTACACTAGTTCATAGCTACATTACCAACCTAATTTCTTACACTAGTTCATAGCTATATGTTTGCTGGATTTATATATATAAGACATTTAACTAAACTGATAATTCAATTAATTTAAACTCATTCATAAAATATCTTAATACGTCAACAAAGAATATATCACTGCTACAATTAATGTAACACCTATAGAGTTATGCCGAGGTTTTTCTTCAGGTTTTGTTATATCAAGGTCAAAAATGTTAGAAGTAAACTCAATACATAAAAAATTGACATAACTATACATTCAGCATATCCAGATACCACACTATATGAATTAGTGTACGCAACACGTATCATTGGGATCAAAGTACAACTTATAAAAATTCAGTGAAATCTGTTGATCGTTTACATATCTGATACCAAAAAGAACACATATTCAGAAGATAAATTGGAGAAACTAAAAGAATGGAAATGGTGATAACAGCAAAACATAGTATTCAAGGACATGAAACAACAATTCATGGCATCACTGATACCGAAATATGCAAGAAGTTCGTTACCTTGTGAGCTCCACATTGAGGTTTCTGGTGATGCTCTCGGAGAGTATTCCTATTTCAGGAACAAAAGGTGTAAAGAGAGCTTCCATCTATGTTAATACAAAACTTAATAAAGCAGAAAGTGACTATCATAAACTTAAATGACTACTTATACGGCCAGCGGTTAGCATTCCTTGGTGACATCAACCCTGTTACATATATATTGACCACTGCTAAGCTGGATACAACCGGACACCACTGGTTATTTGCTCTTTGACCCTGAGATTAAATAATGACCGACTAGGAACGAATAAGACAGGTGTTAATGTAGTCGACTACCTATCAGCGTAGAGTCAATAAAAGCCCTCTGTAATTCAACATTGTATTCTAGTTTACCATAGTCATGTGTTGAAAACCTAACAGTATCCCCAAATGCCGTATCAAATGTCTATGACTCGAAAAGAATCAACGTTAGAAATATCGTGGACCGGGAGAAGGCTCTCTCTGTGAATCTTGATATAAACAAAATCATAGACTACATTACAGACTGTAAAAAGCCACATAGAAACACTTTGGATTTAATCCTCTACTCCGACCTTTCGTCTATTTGAAGTTGATACTTCGTATAACATCTATCGACGAGGAAAACAAAAAACCTGTTAATCCAAACCATAGCACATGCATCAACTGTACTAAAACACTCTGAAACGATATAGGTAAATAAGGAAAGGACAAGACATTGTTGTGGATAAGAGACAGATACTACTGCCGTGAGATGCATAAAGGCATCGATATTTAAATTGAGGAATGTGGTAGATGCAGTCAAGGAAAAACTTAAATCAACCTTAAAACACCTGTTGTTAACATCATTATTTATGTGTGGATGTTTTGACCATTGGACTATATTAGAGAGGACACTAGGACATTCTGGTGATCATTGTTAACTTTACCAGATTTGCAAGGACTATTCTAACAAGAAAACAACTAGCAGATGATTTCCTTGATCAATTAATCGCCTATTATGGCATAACGAACCCATTCATCAATTATCTTTCAAAAAATATAATGATATCTTTTCAATTATGTCATAATCAGTTCCTTAGGAAACTATCTAATCAAAGTACCCTATCATCTATTTGATACTCTATCAAAACAACTGTCGTATGTATACTAACATTTTCTGGATTTAAGTTCATCATGAACGCTCATACCTAAACATTTGAAATCCAGGGATGCACGAACGCGTAGAAACGTTAGGAGCTATATGTGATCAAAAGGGACCCAAAACGAATGTAAGGTCAACTTTGCAAGAGGGAGTTGGGACCTTAGTTTCTTTTTATAAATTTGTCAACGGAAATTCGTTTTTTTAGAAAAGTTTGAAACTCCAAATGAAAAGGTACGCCCACAATTTTACAAACTTGTATTTGAGAAAAGAAAAGTCGTCATCAAATCTAGTTGTTCACAGAGAACATCATAAATTACATATGAAACAATTCATTAAACAAAACAAACTAAATATAGTTGACAAGATTGAATGACCACCACGTGAATCATTAACTTGAAAATAGTTTTTGTCGAGCCTGCGACTTTTGTCGCAGAAAGCTCGACATAGGGATAGTGATCCGGCGGCGGCGGCGGCGGCGTTAGCTAACTTCTTAAAAGCTTTATATTTTAGAAGCTAGAAGACCTGGATGCTTCCTACTTTGTATATAGATGCCTTATGTTACGAAGTTTCCGTCTGTCATATGTCCATTGTCCTTGACCTCATTTTCATGGTTCAGAGACTACTTGAAAAAAAGTCAACATTTTTTGTAATGTTAATTTCTTTCTTATTATGAGTAATAGGATAACTATATTTAGTATGTGCGTAACTTGCAAGGTCCTCGTGCCCGTCAGACGATTTTCATTTGACCTCGACCTCATTTAATGGATCAGTGAAGAAGGTTAAGTTTTCGTGGTCAAGTCCATATATCAGATGCTATAAGCAGTAGGTCTACTATATTTGGTATATGGAATAATTGTAAGGTGTACATGTCCAACTGGTAGGTGTCATCTGCCCTTGACTTCATTTTCATGGTTCAGTGGTCAAAGTTCAGTTTTTGAGTTTTGGTCTTTTTTTTCTAATACTATATGCAATAGGTCAACTATATTTGGTGTATGGAAATATTTTATGATGTACATGTCAGTCTCGCAGGTTTTATTTGACCTTGACCTCATTTTCACGGTTCATTTCTCAGTGTTAAGTTTTTGTGTTTTGGTCTGTTTTTCTTCAACTATAAGCAATAGATCAACTATATTTGTTGTATGGAAGGATTGTAAGGTGTATATGTCTGTCTGGCAGGTATCATCTGACCTTGACCTCATTTCACGGTTCATTGGTCAATGTTAAGTTTTCATGGTTCAGTTTTTTTCTTAGAAACTATACGCAATAGGTCAACTATGTTTGGTTTATTAAATGATTGTAAGGTGTGCATGTATTTCTCGTTTGGTTTATCTGACCTTGACCTCATTTTCTTGGATCATGTTAAGTTTATGTGTTAATTGTAGTAAATCTGTATATTTAGGACTATCAACATAAAATCAATGGTTAGTAAAGAAGGCGAGACATTTCAGCGTGTGCACTCTTGTTAATAGGTTAAAGGTATCCAAAAACTACTGGCATGAACACTCAACAAGTAGATTTTTGTAAGGCATATAAAGACTCAAAATAACTAATACCATATACACATTACTATCATTATTCCTTGACGCATTGAAATGATGTGGGATAAATCATTCAATATGCCAACGATGCTTATTCTTCAATAAAAATCACTTTGAAATCTTTTTTTCGGAGACAACATTCCTTGAGACTAATAATAATAATTTTTATTCACCAAGTACATAACAATTATATGCATACAACATTTAGACTACACATATTATATATAAAATAGCAAGAGGTAGAGTGAAACATAAAACAACATGTCAGATCTTAATTTTTGTGCACGGAATATGAATTATCCTAAATTACATAGCTCTCTTAGATTATTTAAAACTCATTAATTATATATATTTATACATAGAAGGTTTCCTCCAATAATATTATTTAATAAAATAAGATCTAAGACCTTGATAAGTGGGAAATTTAAAAATAAAATGTATCTCATCCTCAATGTTATCCTTACAAAAACAACAGAGTCTATTCCTGCTAGAAATTTCAGAGTAACGTCCACATTCTATAGCTAAATTATGACTCCTAAGTCTTATTTTGGCAATACATGTCTTATAGTAACTGGTATTGGTTTACATAAGTAATACTGTAAAAAAACAACACAATTGATGGTAAGGGTGAATTCATTTCAACAGGTCTGTACTGCAAGTCCGCAGACAAACACCAATATATTTTTCCAAGACGGAGATGTCGTCAAAAACACTTTACTAAAGCTTTCTCTACAAACAAACTCTCAAACTTAAGCAGATTAGTTCCACCAATCATACCACGAAAAAGCGACAACAATGTCACCTAACCCACCGAGTTCGTATTGGACGACAAATCTTTTATGAATCAGGGCCTTGAAATTTTAAAGTAGGCAGAGGCATCCGTGACATCCAAACACATCTACATGCAGATTTCTGTAACACCTATACCGGTATTTCATTTCAGATATTTAGATTGTGTTCGTTTTATACCATTATTTTTTTTTATGAAAACCAGTAACCATTTTAAACCATGGTCCATAACCGATACGCACTAAACAACAGATTATTACTATAATTATTCATTACCTTAATTTTACTATTATCACATTTACTTAATCCAATCTTAATTTATTTTTACGTTAAACATAATAACTGAATACATATAAATTTTTTGAAATGTTAAGCGAAGATTTTTCAACGAGTATGAATTAACTGATATGTAGGACAACACTTTTGAATAAACAATAACATACAAGACATCTGAACTTTAATTAAACCTGGCAGAAATAAACCCAAATATGAGAATATGTGCGCTCTCAACAATAGAATTTAAACTTTCACAAAGGTCTTGCAATTGATCGTCTGTAGCTGTTATTAAGAAACATGTAAAGATAAATAGATACCACATTTTAAGCATAAATCCTATTGTCCGACCAAAAATAAAAATATTAAGCTACCAAGTTATACAGAATGATTAAATACTCACAGGGTAAAATATGATAACATATTTCACATGCTTCTTTAATCATAATTATGCTAAACATATCTTCATTATCAATCTAGCTTTATTTTTCTTACCTGTGGCATGTTTTGGGACTCTAAGTGGTGCGAGCTCTTCTTCTCGTTTACTTTCTGGTGGTTGGACTGGAAGTCTTGGTGACAGTGGAAGGAGGGGCGATCCTACTGGAGGAAGAGGAACTGATGGAGATACTGAGGGAATGAAGTACCCAGGTGAATTAAAATCTGTATGTGCCTGTATTGAAGATGTGAAAGATAACAAGAATATAAGTATATCTTAACAAGAATATAAGTATATCTTACATAAATAGCTTACGTTCAATTCACTGGCAAAATTTTGTTGTTAATTCTCCGAAAATAAAAGACCGCACGGATATCAGGGAACATTCATATAAGACAGAGGATTTCGTATAACACGGAAACGGACTTAAATGTTTTGCAGAAGATGGCGGCGTCTGTTTGGAATATTCCATCATGAAGTTGTATAGGTACAAAGTTATTGTTATGATGCGAAGTAGATTTTAATTTTGTTTCAGCAGTGACTGATATTTTTTTTTGTAAAGAGTCATTGAACATATTTGAATTCGTTTATTTGATAAAGTTCATTGTGGTAGTGCAATGCAACTTTTAAATATTAGAAATAAAAGAAATGCAACATTTTGTCTCTTTGAACATGATATCATTCATATAAAGGGCATTTTAGAATTCATGGAATAACGTGGGAAGGAACTTTGATAAAACATAGGCACGTTTGTGTGTGTACACGTTAAATAATATAGTCAGTTCGATAAACTTCTGAAGTCGTTAATCGCTTTAGTTTGAAAATCAAAAACTGTAAACATTACAAAGCTTACCTTATGAGGCTTTTTAGACTTTTTACGTTTCCCAGTATTTTCCTTTCCGTCATTATCATCATGGTCATATAAAACAATTTTTGGCACAAGCGTCATCGAGGTCACTGATTCTCTTTTGTGAACTGTTTTCATTTCTAATAATTTATCGTCATTTTTAACATCATTTGACCTTTTTTTAAATAGTCCTTTTAATTTTTCAAATGGATTTAAAGAATGGGGTTGGTCTTTACTTTTCTTTCGTTTTTCCTTCTTATGCGTAGGAGAACTTTTAATTCCAAGTCTTTCCTCAAGGAGTTTCTGACATGCTACAAAAAATACTTAAATAAAGTGTTTTCTTCTGTTGTTAAGTTAAGCGATCCGAAACTATGAGCAAAGAAATAGCGAGTAAATATTGTCATAGTATCCCCATCAGTATTGCTAAAAGGATTTGTTTTTAAAATTAATTTATTTTACTTTCTTGGGTATGAATAATTTATTTTGTTTTTATAGATTCGATGGTGACCATCCAAATATAATCATTTTGTTATTATCAGCTACAGTTTTAGTACTTTCCCACAGGCAGAATTGCCTTTTTTGTTCAACTGATTAACAACTTTGGTTTCCAGTTGTACCATTAGAAATATTCGAAGCAATAATTTTTCACAGAAACAAATTCATGCATGAACGAGGAGGTCTAATGTACTGAAAGTTTTCACACAAAGTAACATGTTGGCCATTGTTGCATTCTCGAGTTATTATCATTATCTTTCAGATTACACGGAGATCGATCAATATAATTCCACACACAAAAAGGCATACTATTAAGGAAAATTGCATTCACAGATTATTGAATGCAAAATTAAAAACAATTATGAACATTTTATGTTATTATTTCACCATATTAAACGTATATTTCTGATATTTTCTAACTCATTGCTTCCTTTACTGGAAGAACCAGTTTATCTTTATTTTGTCTAAACTCCGTAATGTACCTGTGATCATTTTTCTAATAAGTGTAATTAACTGCATTTAATTAAAACATTAATCTGATCTCTACCAGGTATTAAATATACGTCATCGATCGTAGTCTATGGACTCTTCCTAATTAGCAAACTGAGATCAATTAGACGATATCTTTTTATTGGAACATATTTACACATATATTGATTGAATACAGATTTTGTTATTGAACATTACTTTTAAAGCTATATTTGTCTTGCATGGAAGATGCGTGTCGCCTACGGTCTCCAAATTTTATAAGCAGTTCACAGTTTTAGTATGGGAAACCCCAAACATCTTTCAGATAAAAAATTTCAATAGGAGATTAACTTTATTTCTTGTGTAAGAATCTGTGTAAGTTTGGTTGACTGTTGTCAAACGTTATCAGGGAGTTAAAAAATAACGGTATGATAGCAGAAACGACGAAGTCGGTGGTTTGGTATGGAAAACCCCCAAAATCACTCAGATGATGAAAAAAAATTAAACAGCAGGAGAAGAACTTTATATCATGTAAACAAATCAGGGCAAATTTGATTGAATTATGTCAAACTGTTTTCAAGGAGATGTGGATTAACAAAGTATAATGGAAGACATAAATAAGACGACACAAGTTGTTCCTATACAGTACAACTACTTCATCAATAGCATGCTCAATATGTGTTGTTTCATATCAGCTGTCTAAGAATAAAATGAGATTCAACTCTCAATTGTCTGTTTTTTGTTAGGAAAACAATGTTTTTCGTGCCTCGCAAAACATTTGTCGATGTTATGTTTTATACTAGGCATTATGTAACCTGATGGAGGACATCCAGTCACAATTAATCCTTTTTTGTCACTCTTAAATTGTATGATTTTCAATGTTCGTATTTGAATTAACATATGGTGAATATGCAATTTCACTTGGCTTGATAGAACTCATTTAAATTCTTCCACGAAAACCAATAATCAAGATCTAGAGTACAGCTGAGATTTGTAATTAGATAATGAAGTTAGAATGGTATTATCAAAAGCTTTTTAAATTAAGTAACGCATTGAAACGGCATCTTGTTGTCAAAGTACAGTTCTGTATTAATTTAAAAATCCTTTAAATCTCACCTTTATGACCAGTTTGTCTTGTATAATCAATTGGCGTGTTTCCGTCAATGTCGATTGAGTTTGGTTTTACCCCTAACCTCAGTAGTAGCGAAACACAGTCCTGATGACCCATAGCAGCAGCCCAATGTAGAGGAGTTCTGTAAATTTCATTTCGAAATAATTATTAAGTGGATTAAATGCTTATGAAATCACAGATACCCCCGCCTCTCCCACCGTAAGCATGTCTTAACTAATCAAGGATCCAATCTCTAAATCATATATAACGTTACCACCAAAAGCGAACAGGAAGTACAATGACATTATTTAGGCTTCAAGTTTATGCTTGATAATATCCGGTTTAGAGATAAAGAATACTACAATGTAATCGGTCATCCGATAAGGACTAACTGTGTCCCCTATTATTGCAAATTTATGCATTTATTGTTTAGAATCCCACTTTATGGCAAAACTGTTTAAAGACTCAAGGAAAGCACAATTAGGTATATATTTTTGACAATACAGATATTTCTACATTCTTCAGTAGGTTGATATGTGCGATGTTGCAGTGATAGTTTGGATACCAATGTATTTAAAACGTAATATTTTTCTTTTTCAAAAACTTATAAAGCAGGGATATAGATGTCATAAATTGGTCAAACGTTTTACTAACATTTGTCACAAATACAGAAATCCACTGCGGTTGTATTGTTTTCCTCCGTTGAATTTCTATACAATTCGTTTTTGGCATTGCACAATATCGTGTCCTATATTGTTTATGATATTTCGGGGTTAAATCTTCTATGAAGTACACCACCGGATATTAGAGCCATTGGCAGAAACATTTCATGTCGACAGGTTATGTGATTTCAGTTTGCTTTCAGTTTTGGTACGTGTCTTTTAGTTATCTATTGAACCACTTTTTCAGATTAAAGTGCTTTTCTGTGCTGAATTTTGTTTTGTTTGTTCTTTAGTTGATCTACTGATCGGGATTGAAATAGAGAGAGAGTAGAGAGAATTGATATCTCAAAAGACTAGTTTAATCCTCATGCAAAGTAATGTAACCGCTTCAAACCAATGGCGTCATCGGCGGTTGTCTTTGATCGTAATGTTTTAAGTTATTTAGTGAATCTGGTTTTGAGGGTATTTAAGATGTTACTGACTTGAAGATCTGGCAAAAATAAGCAAGTTTTTTTAGCACTCGACCATTTCCCTTTTAATCGCGACTCGGAAATAATAATACTTCCATTATCTCGATTAGTGGAATCACTGTTTACGATGACTGATTGTCTTATTGCGAATTTACCACGTTTGCACCAAATCATTAGAACGTAAGCTAAACAACGCTATTATAATAAACTTCACAAACATACCAAAATATTTTTGCAAGACGAATCTTGATTTGCAAAGTACCCGTAGAAAATTATCATTGATTTACACAACAAACTTTATTTAATTTATCTGTATAGCAAATCAATTTTCATAAAAAATCGTTAGACTTATTTAGAAGATTAATTCCATTTGCATAAAAAAAACTCCATGTATACCAATCTAATTAAAATATAGAACTCTGATTTCGTTATACTCGTATTAAAATATAGAACTCTGAATTCGTTATACTCGTATTAAAATATAGAACTCTGATTTCGTTATACTCGTATTAAAATATAGAACTCTGATTTCGTTATACTCCAAATGAGTATAACGAAATCAGAGTTCTATATTGTAATTATATTGTATGTATAATAACACAATGAGAAACGTCTCGTTAAATCAAAAACAGTGCTGGCTTTAAATTCAATAATCTTATAGTTTTTCACATAGTTTACTTTTTATAAGTCTTCTGATTCTTTGTGAAAATGAAACGAAAATTGAGTTTCATTTCTTTTATTTAAATACAATTGTATTCTCTTTAGGTATTATTGAATTTAATACATGGAAATGAAATCTAACCTATCATCTGGATCTTCAGGTTCAATGCTAATATTTTCAACATCTGCCAGCAGTTTTATGACGTCAACGTTTCCAGCAGCAGCTGCATAATGTAATGCGCACTTCCCAGAAAAGTCTTTATAATTAACAAGTGTAGCACCAGTAATGTCTAGTAGTATAATTCGGCAACATTCGCTGCTGCCATTCTAATGAATAAAATACCCCAGATTTATTTGAAAATTCCAAAAATAAAAAGAAAGGGATTTTAATACCCTGTTCACACTATGAAATCAGCTCCGGGTCGAACCCGGGATAGTTAACCCGAATTAACTACCCCATTTCACGTTTGTTAAAACTTATCCAACTACGGGATTTTCCCTCTCAGAAAAAAAGACATGTAAACGCCAAAATTGTTACTCGAATATATCCACTGAATTTGTTTACATTCTTTACATTACAGGTGCATTATTTGAATGTCTGGAACTCTTTCTGCACTTCTGAGCGGTTCGGAGGAAACAAGCATCAATCATCCACCACCCACCTTCTTTCCCGTGTTGGCAAGTACATTGATATTCCGTGTATGTGAGTAAAGTTCCTCTTGCTTTCGCCAATTTTATATATTATTGTTTTCTCCTCGTTTCACATAAGATCGCATTTTCTAACAGACAACAGATTCTGGTGTTTCGCCTATGATCTGGCTTCTGTAATTTCAAATGACGTGAGTCAACGTCATGTGCCACAATACCAACAACCTCGCATCAACTTCACTTTACGTTCACATGCAGAAAGCGAGGTAATTAATACGGGTTCGCCTAACTGTATACAACTATAAACAACTGTCATACCAGAAGGCTCAGCTAGCTATAAAAACCAGGTATAACTCACCACTTTCGTCGGAAATGTCTGTACCAAGTCAGGAATATGATAGTTGTTTTCACTCGTTCCGTTAGTTGATAATGTTTGATTTTGTCAGTTTTTATGGACTCCCCTTTTTGAATTTACATAAGAGTTCGGTATGTTTGTTATACTTTTTTTTCCATCTAAATGGTGGGTGATTTTAATCCGGGTTCGCCACGGGTTAAGATGTTCACACTATAAAAATTTAACCCAGTTAACAATTCAGGTCGAACCCAAATTAAAACGATATTGTGTAAACGGGTTATAAGACTATTAAAGAATTAAAATGTTAGGTTAAATCCTCCAATTTCATCTCTTTCTCAAACCATTATCTAACTAGTACATGGCAATTATTGTTTTAGGCTTTTATACATTTGTTCAGGCCTCAAGTTGAATAAGAATTTCGTTCGTTTAAGAAGTAATCTGGTTGGTAACTGTAATATGCAGTTTCTTTCCCCTCGCGTTTACTTCTACGGTATACGGTCTCTGTGGGTAAAGAATGAGAAAGGTGGTTTCCGATATTTGTTTACCTAAGCCATCGTCATACTTTAACATGGCTATTTAAAAAAAAATGTGTCTTGCTCATTGAGTTTGAAATCAAATATACTTGTACCAAGCATGGCTACAGCGCTCTTATGGTATTCTTTATTTTTTACTCTGCCTTTGTTTTATCAGAGTTGGCAGCTGGTGAAGTGGTGTGCGTGTCTTATATTTTTTGTAACTCCTGTTATCTTTCTGTTCTAAATCAAATAGCATTTTTCATTATTTACCTGTGCAGCCCAATGAAGCGGTGTTTTGCCGTCTACATCTTGCACCGAAATATCAGCACCATGATCAAGAAGTAACTGAACGTGTTGTGGTCTATTGTGAAAGCACGACCACTGGACTGCAGTCATCCTCTGTCATGAAAAACAATGATAGCTGAAACTCTTACATCAATCCAAAAAAGACTTTCAAGAAATATTAAAAACATCGTTATATCTAAGAAGCTTAAATCACAAACACAAACGCATTCTTAAATTAAAAAGAACACAATATAAATTTCATGCGTGAAAAGAAGATTTTGAAATACTAATATTGAGTTAAAATGTTGAACAGTCTCTAGCGTAGCTCCTGATATTTAAGATGAAATTTTCATACACAAACGAAATCATGCGTGAAAAGAAGATTTTGAAATACTGATATTGAGTTAAAATGTTGAACAGTCTCTAGCGTAGCTCCTGATATTTAAGATGAAATTTTCATACACAAAAGAAATCATGCGTGAAAAGAAGATTTTGAAAACTAATATTGAGTTAAAATGTTGAACAGTCTTTAGCGAAGCTCCTGATATTTAAGATGAAATTTTCATACACAAACGAAATCATGCGTGAAAAGAAGATTTTGAATTACTAATATTGAGTTAAAATGTTGAACAGTTTCTAGCGTAGCTCCTGATATTTAAGATGAAATTTTCATTAGAAATTGAGAGAGAAATTAATGCATGAAACATAAACGAAAATGTTCAAGTAGCTTTTTCAATTCTATGTATGACAGACGTGACGATTACAGCTTTCATATGTTAACGTCCCATTTCTCGTAAAGCGATTACAAATCGTTTCAATTGATAATTTACCTGCGTACATGTTCTCATTATAGACATTATTATCAGTGAATTTTTACTTTTCCCGATCGTGACATTTTGACTGAGTCGTTATTCACAGTGCGGGTAATTACGCGCTTACCCTATCGACGAACCCTATTCGAAGTTTATGCTATTCTCCCAGTTTGTTTTCTCTAGATAGGTATATTTTAAATTCTCTTTTTGAACACCAGTAACCTATCATTGCCTCTTACTTAACAATTAAAACCGAAAGACGAATTTGATCATAGGCGACGAACACCCAAACGTACAGCATGATATTTAATGTCATCAACGATACCAGACTTATCATTTAGTTCGCCAGAATTGCTTTTAGTTTGTACCAGACTTATCAGTGGCAGTTTAATCAAGACATTTGAAAGGTAAAATCAAATATATAGCCACGGTAGTATATTAGATAAGAACATTTTTGAAGTTGTGCCTACTTTACGGTTGAAATTAATGCCATAATATAAATTGCATTTCAGTGCAACAAACATTTAAATAACAGTTTAAACACAGTCAGTTTTAGAAAACTTTAACATCCCCCCAATAAGATTCATGCAGTCAACTATATGTGCTCTGCAAGTAAAGGGCATTGTTTACATGTGCAAGTTCAAAAAATATATCTGTAAAAAACATTAAGTTGTTTTGCATATTTATTCTGAAAGTATATATATTTAATACGTTAAAGTGGTTAAAAAAGGTAGGTGTATATCCTTCAATTCATTTCACACCTTGGTTGTTTTAGATATTTGAGGCTGAAATTCACATTAGCACAGCTTTATACGTGTACATCTAACCAAATTACAATTGCTTTAGATTCGGACAATTTAGAGTTTTTGACAAATTTTGAGTTTTAATGAAAAAATGATAAGTAGGATATGCTTAACTAAACCAAACCAAAGCTAGGTATAATTAGAGATAAATCAAGTCTTTCTATGCACAAATGTACAAAACCATTAAACAACTTGAAATATCGTGTCTACACTGTCTTCAGCAGCAAGCAAAGTATGGCGCTGAAGAAGAGTTTCGTTTTATAGAGACCATTTATATTATCTTGCTGAAACTTTTAATGAAAATTTTAAAACTTTACATGACAACCAACAATTTGTGTTTTTATTCTCAGGTATGATACATGTGTGTGCCAAAACCTGTTAATTAATTTTAAGAAGACATAGAAATTATATTTATTGTAAATAGTACTTTATCTCATATTAATTAACTAATATCTGTTATTACGTTTTTTTCCTCTTATAGTTGATGTATTTCCCTCGGATTTAGTTTGTAACCTGAATTTGTTTTCTCTCAATCGACTTTTGACTTTTGAACAGCGGTATACTACTGTTGCCTTTATTTAATGTAACATATCTACACATTCTAATAGTCTCTTATAATTCTGTATAGAATGGCTCTCATTTTATGTAGTATTGTTTTACAATGTATAAATACTGATTGTACTTGTTGAGAAATGAGACTTTAATCAAACATTGAATTGAATTGTAATCTTGCTGGAAGTGTTTGAGTACATTATTTAGACTTTTTGATATTGAAATTTGCAAAAAGAGAGAAAATGATACCAAGGGGCAATCAAAATATTTAGTCTAATAATGCAGGCGTCATAGCCGGAAACAAAACGACGAAAAGTCCAACAACAATAATACAGGCGCCACAGCCGGAAACAAAACGACGAAAAGTCAAACAGCAATAATACAGGTGTCATAGCCGGAAACAAAACGACGAAAAGTCAAACAGCAATAATACAGACGTCATAGCTGGAAACAAAGTGACAAAAAGTCAAACAGCAATAATACAAACGTCATAGCTGAAAACAAAGCGACAAAAAGTCAAACAGCAATAATACAGGTGCTATAGCCAGAAACAAAACGACGGAAAGTCAAAGAGCAATAATACAGGTGTCATAGCCGGAAACAAATCGACGAAAAGTCAAACAGCAATAATACAGACGTCATAGCTGGAAACAAAGTGACAAAAAGTCAAACAACAATAATACAGACGTCATAGCTGGAAACAAAGCGACATAAATTCAAACAGCAATAATACAGGCGCCATAGCCGGAAACAAAACGACGAAAAGTCAAACAGCAATAATACAGACGTCAAAGCCGGAAACAAAGCGACGAAAAGTCAAACAGCAAAAATACAGTAGCCATAGCCGGAAACAAGGCGATGAAAATTCAAACAGCAATAATACAGACGCAAAACAGCAATTACACAGACGTCATAGCCGGAAACTAAACGACGAAAAGTCAAACAGCAATAATACAGGCGCCATAGCTGGAAACAAAACGACGAAAAGTCAAACAGCAATAAAACAGGCGTCATATCCGGAAACAAAGCGACGGAAAGTCAAACAGCAATAATAAAACACTACACATAAAACTAAACATTGAGCACTCTAAACATCGCCAATATCAAGGGGTGAACTCAGGTGCTCCGAAAGGGTAACCAGTTATTGCTGTACTAGTGATTTCCCACTTAAAGTTTCATTTACGTTTTTTTTTAATTTTGGCTCTGAGAGCAAAACAAATCCAGATGAAATTGGCCACACCTCTTTATAAATATCCTTTGACAAATTACTTCCAAACTGAGAACAAACAAAATTTAATAAATATTTTGTTTTTATTTTTCAATGCTTATGCCTTTCTTTATTAAGTGTAATACCCCATCAGATATCAATTTCACCTATTTACTACATATGTTACTGACCTCATTGTCTGAGTAATTCACAGCGTCATGTGACAAATTTTTCAGTAGAGCAGCAACAATTCTGCAATTAGAAAACAAAGAGGAATGAAATACATAGATTACAACAATCAACATGTAGCTTGAATTTGTGTTTAGGATGTAATTTCTTGTATAAATTTACAAAATAGTTCATCTTTGAATGTCGTTCAGATACTACCAAAGTTAAAAGTAGCTATAAAGCGCTGTTCCTAGATATATATAGGTTATTTACTTGTCTTTCATTTATAAATAAAAAGAGAGGGTAATACGTCAATGAGACATCAACCAAACGACATAAATAACCAAAATACAGAATGAAAGCAACGTAGTCTTCAACAATAGACAACATATCAAACCCATGGCATTTTAGTGTTATCTATATATATTTATATATCAATCCCATATTCATGTTTTGTCGATATAACGGAACTATAAACAACTGTCATACAAGTGAGAGATTTAGTAAGCTATAAAACCAGGTTAAACCCACCATTTTCTTTGGAAAAAAAGTAAAAATAACAAAAATACCGAACCAAGGAAAATTCAAAACTTATAATCCTTTATCAAATGGCAAAATCAAAAGCTCAAACACATCAAACGAATGGAAAACAACTGTCATATTCCTGAATTGGTACAGACATGTACCAAGTAAAAATATGACAGTTGTTTTTCACTCGTTCCGTTGTTTGATAACGTTTGATATGGTCAGTTTTTATGGACTTCTCCTTTATGAATTTACCTTTGAGTTCGGTATTTTTGTCATACGTTTTCATAAATGAATAAAATGTTAATGTTTGTTTTCTTCTATGCTTACCTAATGCTATCCAGATATCTTGATAAGAGCGGGAAATGAAGAAAAAATATACGAGCCCAGTAAGCGAGGTTTTGAGGCGAAATGCAAGTAAAATTTGTACATTTCCTTATGGAAAATATAAAAATGAATTGAAAAGCGGAAATTACACGGGTTTCATCCTTAAATTAAGTTTGCTTTCACCTTAAGATTGCACACGCCATGACGAAAGCTTCATGATGGATACACTGGGTACTGTTTCGGAGATTCGTATCCCTCCAAGCTTTAATGAGAGTATCCATTGCTTATTTGACAGAGTATATTTTTACATACTTTATTTATTATTATTTCATATTTTATTACATGCCAGATGTTATACTTTATTAAATCACTTTGAATATTTCATCTTTTGATTTATCAGGGCCGTAATTAGCCTCTTTTAAAAGTGAGGCAAGATATATTCGCTGAGCGAAGCGAGGCTAAACAAATTTTGGCGAGGGGTCTGGGGGCCGCTCAAGGACTCTCAAGGCCCCTAGAAGCTCTGGAAAAAAGACGCAAAATTGTGCCTTCTGAGCGTTTATCGGACCCGTTCTTAATCTGAAACACAAGTTTTGTTTTAATTATGTTTTCGACAATATTCTGGTCTCAAAGCAAAATAAATAGATTCATTGTAAGACTCTTAGTTTTTAGGGACAACTTCAAAAGACCGATAAGTATGATAAAGCAAACATCGTATTTCACATACTTAAGTGTGTGGCTGCTGTTTTTTTTTTTTTAATTGAGTTCGGCTTTCAGAAAACGTATTATACCTGTTAATTATTATTTTTCAAATCAAGTTAAGAGGGGGCTGATTATCATTTATTTAACTATGTGAATTCAGATTTTATAACGCATTTCAGTTACAACTTGATGTAGTTCCTAACTGGGATTAAAGGGTACACTCAGGGTAGAATCAGGAAAACTGTTCTTAGACCTCATTGCTACATTTTATACCGGCTGATTAATGTCGGATCTGTCTGTTCTGGTCTTGTATTGTGTTTTGACTTTGGTGTATTTTTTTTGTGACTTTGAAAGTTATTCACAGTACAATACTTTAAGTACCGCTAAGTCGACGCTAGGGGCCGTCTTGACCTTGTTGTAGGGTATGAATGATTCTTTCATTGTTGAAGACCCTCAAGCGACTGTCAAGATGAAGAACAGGAATAAAAACCCTGTTCATTGATAATTTGTACTTTTTCTATGTAGTGTGTACGATTTTGTCCCATGCATATCTACTCCATATCCCTTTATTTTCTATTTAAGGGCCTGGACACGGCTTGCAAGTTTAGCCCTTCAATGTAAAAGGTCGTATAATAATACACGATTTTTCTTTTTAAATGATTTGATTCCGGGAGATTGGTTGTCTCACTTTAATTTAACCCATGTCAGCTTTTTAGTTTTATTTACAAAAAAGAGAGCCAGTCTTGTATTCTTTAATATAAAGTTTAATTTTCCATGAAAGAAACGACCAATTTTTCTATGTCCGGTAGCATCGAATCTTCTCAAACCATTTTTTCGAACAATATCTGGACATCGGTAGACATGCAACATTGCCATATCATTATCACACAACCTTTCACCCGTCATCGTTGAACCTTCCCAAGTCTTAAGTTTACGCAAAGCAGAGAATGAACGTTTACAACATACAGATGTTACGAGAAGAATCAACAACAGCTTAATATTGGACAACTGAAGTGTTAGTCATAAAGATTGATTGGTTGATTGAATGGTGTTCGCTTAACGCCGCCTCAGAACAAAAAAAGAGAGCTGATTTCAAATATTTTTACAATTTCAAGTAGGTTTTAAAATTAGACAAAAGGTCCTTAGATATAATAAAACTCAAGTTTAAAACAAAATTACTAACGAAATTCAACACTAATACAATAGTCATAAAGAAGCGCAATAAAGGAACAAAAGACAAACCCGGTAACAGATAAGACACATAACGACGAACAATAGACCATCAACACTGAAAACTAAAAATAAATGAGAAACATGGATCCCGAAAAACGGGACGACGTCAGACCTGGTGAACAGAACTTGCTTCTTGCAAGACACTCGCTGCGGGGTGAACAGAACTTGCTTCTTGCAAGACACTCGCCGTGAAAACAATTTGATATGAAGACAAGCTTTTGTTTCAACTTATCATTTTTTTTTTCGAAATTTTCAACATGAGGCATTTGTCTCATTTTCCTCAATGTAGTTACGGCCCTGTTTATTGTCTATTATTTCTTGCATGAAAGTTCAAATCAGGCGTAATTCCTTGAGCATAGTTGTAGCTTTATCTACCTGTGCAACTCATTAGAATTTCAATTGCCACACATTAATTATCTTTATGGTCAGTTTTAGTGGTAATTCTGGACACACCTCATAGATTTTGGGAAAAAAGTAATGGGGCCAACTCTTGCAAATTGGAGACATACATAGATCTAATATCATTTGATAAACACTTCTTGTTCAAACTGTATATAGTGATGTGACTTATATAGACACATGCTATATAGTACACGCGCTATTACACAGTGACGTTCCAATAATTTGGAATCACTGTAGTTATTGGAAGTTACATTCTTTATATCTGGACACATATATTATAATGTTTTTTTTAGAGTTTTAGTAACACTGATACTGGTTGTACTGTAAATGTCAGAATTTATAACCTGGTTCCACAAATTGGGTTTACTTATTCTTTCTTTACTTGTCAAAGTATGTGATGTTAAAGAATCCTAGTTGTCGTTTATGGAAACCAGTGAAAATCAGCTAATTATAATAGCGCCCACGTAATGACCATTTGACCTACGCAGCTGCGTATAGTTTTTGAAAAGCACAAATGCACTTGATACACTGTTGTTGACAAAACATTTTAACACTTGAGTTAATTTGGTTTTGCATTTCTGCCATTTTCATTCATATAGGACATCGGAAAACCAATTACATCTTGCACAGCTTGATTCTCTTGTTGAGAGGTGTTAACAATTTTTACGGCAAATAATGCTCATCATTTTTCCGGAGCTAATACGTAATGCATTTTATTGCATAGCAATATAATATTTCCCACAGAAAGTAAACAAAAGTTAGCGTGCAATAAATTCTAATATTGCACCAGTGCAATAAATCTTCAAAATTTATGACGTCATCAACGACAAAATCTTAGTTTAAACCAATTTTTACTTTCAAATATTATTTTGCTATACAATAAAAGGGTTATTGCATGAATATTGGGGAATATTGTCCCTCGTAGAACATATATTGCACTCGCATACTCGGGACAATATTCCCCAGTATTCATGCAATAACCCTATATTATTATTTGTTAATACATTTTTACAATTAAGACAATAAAACTTCGATTTCTATTTCATTATCCATTCAGAAACTCACAAGTCGAAGAGAAAGTGACAACCCATTGGCAACAAATGAAAAACAAAAGACAAACAACTCCAAAAACACAACATAGAAAACTTAAAACTGAGCAAGACGAACCCCAATAAAAACCGACATGATCATGTTATATCTTACTGTTGGTACAGCCAAATTTCACGTGCATGTTATGTTTACTCTCGAATATTATCTAGACTTATGCAAAGCCTACTTTCCTCTACTTTTATTTTATCATATGTGGTTCTGAAGATCTATAAATAGTTCATTTTCCTCACCTGTTGATGTTTCATTATCTATGTATTAAAGATCAGAAGAAGTATTCATATACGTTTTGTAGGATATTTTTTTTCAATCTCTACCCTTACTTTCAGGCAAATACCTTTCTTCCATGTATTCTATTCTTATCCATAGCTAATTCCATCTATTTATCTTCCTATCTTGCATCTATGATCATATCCCTACATTGTATCTTTATCTATAGTCGCAGTATGTGCATTTATTTTTATATTCGCTAATTGCTGTATGTGTATCCCTTTATTGTACCTATAGTGGTGTCCCTGCCTTGTAACTTTATTTGTTTCCCTTTATTGTATCTGTAGTGGTGTCCCTACCTCGTAACTTTATTTGTTTCCCTTTATTGTACCTGTAGTGGTGTCCCTACCTCGTAACTTTATTTGTTTCCCTTTCTTGTATCTGTAGTGGTGTCCCTACCTCGTAACTTTATTTGTTTCCCTTTATTGTACCTGAAGTGGTTTCCCTACCTGGTAACTTTATTTGTTTCCCTTTCTTGTACATGTAGTGGTGTCCCTACCTTGTAACTTTATTTGTTTCCCTTTATTGTACCTGTAGTGGTGTCCCTACCTTGTAACTTTATTTGTTACCTTTATTGTACCTGTAGTGGTGTCCCTACCTGGTAACTTTATTTGTTTCCCTTTATTGTACCTGTAGTGGTTTCCCTACCTGGTAACTTAATTTGTTTCCCCTCTCTTGTACATGTAGTGGTGTCCCTACCTTGTAACTTTATTTGTTACCTTTATTGTACCTGTAGTGGTGTCCCTACCTCGTAACTTTATTTGTTTCCCTTTCTTGTATCCGTAGTGGTGTCCCTACCTCGTAACTTTATTTGTTTCCATTTATTGTTCTTGTAGTGGTGTCTCTACCTGGTAACTTTATTTGTTTCCATTTATTGTACCTGTAGTGGTGTCCCTATTTCGTAACTTTATTTGTTTCCCTTTATTGTACCTGTAGTGGTGTCCATACCTGGTAACTTTATTTGTTTCCCTTCCTTGTACATGTAGTGGTGTCCCTACCTTGTAACTTTATTTGTTACCTTTATTGTACCTGTAGTAGTGTCCATACCTGGTAACTTTATTTGTTTCCCTTCCTTGTACATGTAGTGGTGTCCCTACCTTGTAACTTTATTTGTTACCTTTATTGTACCTGTAGTGGTGTCCCTACCTGGTAACTTTATTTGTTTCCCTTTATTGTACCTGTAGTGGTTTCCCTACCTGGTAACTTAATTTGTGTCCCCTCTCTTGTACATGTAGTTGTGTCCCTACCTTGTAACTTTATTTGTTACCTTTATTGTACCTGTAGTGGTGTCCCTACCTCGTAACTTTATTTGTTTCCCTTTCTTGTATCTGTAGTGGTTTCCCTACCTCGTAACTTTATTTGTTTCCATTTATTGTACTTGTAGTGGTGTCTCTACCTGGTAACTTTATTTGTTTCCCTTTATTGTACCTGTAGTGGTGTCCCTATTTCTTAACTTTATTTGTTTCCCTTTATTGTACCTGTAGTGGTGTCCATACCTGGTAACTTTATTTGTTTCCCTTTCTTGTACATGTAGTGGTGTCCCTACCTCGTAAATTTATTTGATTCCCTTTCTTCTATATCTTTATTTATATCTCTACCTAGTATTTTTTTTAATTATATGTATAACCTTGTATTTATATATTTCCCTACCTTGTATCTTTATTATACGTAGAGGCATGCAATGGTAATCGTCCTGATTTGTCCGCAATATTCTGTTTAGCACCTTTTCGAAGTAGGTAAACTACTCCCTCATACCAGCCCTTCAAATGAACATATAACAACACACTATTAGATACATTGTCTAGCCGATTAAAATCATAATCAAGTAAAAAATTCGGAAAACGACTTAAGCGATGACAATTTTTAAACATAAAAGTAAGTAGTTATTAGACAATATTGCTATTATTACCTAGAGCTGACCCTGTTCAGAATTCATACATTTATAATCAACTTCCGTTAATTCAGAATCTTTATTCCATTAAGCAAGATATATCGCTGATACATCATATAACAACAAGTTGTGACGACAAAACATGTTCATTTCCAATCGGAAGCGGCTGGGTATTTATACATCCGGTTTTAAGAAAAGAATTGTACTGTTGGACGAAAGAATTGGAGGTAGCCATATTTCTTTGGCACAAACATTCTGAAAGTTGATGAGGAAACACCACGAAATTCGTTCACCGTGCAGACATATAAATAGACTTGGTTATCAATGTTTGCTTACATACTATGACATGGACTTGTATGACTTGTTACTTTATTTTTTCCCATGTTGATTAGAAATTGCGGGGCCTCGGTGGCCGAGTGGTCTAAGTAGTTACTACTGTAATCACTAGCCAGTCAACACTGAGGTTGTGAGTTCGAACCCCGCTCGTGTGGGTGCACTCGACTCCAATCTTAATTGACTAGGATTGTCAGTTTTCCTATCGTAGGTCGGTGGTTTTCTCCTGGCACTCCGGCTTCCTCCACCAATAAAAACTGGCCGCCACGAAATAGCCCAAAAGCGGTGCTTAAAAGTGGCGTTAAAACACAAAAAAAAAAAAAAATTAAAAAAAAAAAATTAGAAATTGCCGCTTTTCATTTCGTTATTTCAAGAATTAGAAGTAAATGTTTGTTTAATCATTTTATATTTCGGACTTTGATTCTTCCGTTAAATTATTTGAAGTTGAAAGTAAAAATTGAAAATGTTTAATATCGAACATTTGTATTGGCAATGTAATCGAATCTTCTTCAATTTCAGAAATATAAAGTGAAATGACAGAGAGACATCAGTCGCTATTTTCTCTTTGTTACATTGATTTGAAATAATAGGATAAAAAAATGACTTTTTAAAAGGCTATGAACTGTTACTACCCTGTAACGTGTATTTAAAAGAAAGTCTGATATTTCCCCAGTCTATGTTTTGCCACATTTAATTATGCAATATTTTTACTTATTTACCTGATAAGCAGCCACAGCCAGACCAGTTCTTCCTTTGCTGTCTTGTGCATTGATATTGGCTCCCATTTTAACTAGTCGCTTCACTGCTTGGAGTTGTTGCATCATTATTGCATGAGCTAAAGGTTTGTAACCTGTATTACAGAACAACCTCATTACGTTTTGTTTCATCAGTACGACAGAACTATGTCTACTTACTAAAACTTTTAGCGTCTTTATAGTTTTTTTTCATACTAGGCAATTGGGATCAATTCAAAAACGAAATTTTGTAGACACTGTAGGCTTTATATAAAAACCTTAGAGATATTACATTTAAATGGGATATATCAAAATTGTGAACTACTTAATACAAACATTGTTCTAGTATCTATGATGAGTTTATTGGTATTATGCCACACTCTCTTCTTTTGAAAGGAAAATCTAGTACAGAAAAAGACCCCTTCGTTTAGGTATGAGAGCGGTCAATATTATCACAGTAGTGTGATCTTTGGTATCAAAACAGCATACTGGAGTTGATTACAAGACAGTATCGCAATATGAAGGTATACTACTTTCCTGTCATAAAATATCCATGTTGCTTTCTTAGTCCGATAAGGTCGAATTCATATTGGTAAACTATACGTTAAGAAACAAATCACACGTGACGCTAGGACAAACGAAACAACTTTTTATTCTACCCTTATGGACAGGCTATAAATAAATACATATATATTACGACAAATGAAGGGATATGGGGTGGAACTACCTGAGGCACGGTTTTACGAAACACAAGAAAACAACCGATATTTTAACGAACCACCCTTCTTTAACGTAACAATTGCTAGAAGAATTCAGCGATGAGCTGGCCAAGGTAACGTGTTTTTATATTGACTGATTATGACTACTTTACGTTCAGCAACATATATTACATGCATATTCAAGGCAAGAATATATGATCATACTACTATATACTATTAATGATCTACGACCATGTATTGCTTTATTCTCTAGACCGACACGCTGAAAAGGATTGTATGTGCTAGATTACACGGCGCATAGCAAGACTCGTCATCCTAATCAGACAAATTATATTCTGGCTCCGAGCAGACCAGTTTTTGCCCTTACTCGTAAATGCCAGGTGTTTGACGGAAAAACAACAAATGCCAATTTTAAAGTCTTTGGTTTGACCGAGCCGCGGCTAGAACTCACGACTTCCTGCACTCGGGAGCCCTGGCGAGAACTTGACCACGAGATCAACGAGACGACCATGTAAAGAAACATATGGTAGCTGTTTTTTTATTCAAGTTATATGCTGCAAAATTCCAGTTATACGGTAAGAAGTCAGTATGTGTAATTAACATTAACATGATTAAGGGCCGGGGTTTAAAAAATCATTCTTAACAATGTTATCGTATTACAAAGTCAATCACATCAATGTCTCTTGATGAATTGTCGCAGTAATTGAAAATCAGGTTAATTTATCGATTTCCTCAGTATTGCATTACTACGGAATCATGGATTTTTTTTTCAAATTTCATTCTATGATACTTGATACACAAAGATTTTGTCGGTTAAACAAAAAAATCAGTGCTTATATATCTGAGGATATCGTTAGTAAATTTTTAAATCCAGTTTTCTTTTTAAAAAAATCATTCTTTATTTATTAACACTCCATTATTCTCTTTTTTTGCCACCCTTTTTTAAATAATATTATTCTCTTTTCTGTAAAACCCCATTCAAAACCTATATTGTTTACAGTGCTGTTGGCAAATTGACCGTCTAATCATTTTTTTAAAGTTACCTACTGAAACGTCATTTACATATTATACATCAGTATTTTATGCCTTTGTAAAGACGCATGTTCCTATTTTTGTTGTCGCTAGTTATTTGTATAACTTCTAATTAGGAGTTTTTTTGTAGCACTAGAAAGTTGTCATTTCCGGTTGATATATTCCGGTTAACTAGCTCTTGAGATGGCGAAATATCGATTTTAATGTAATGATTTTTGTGCTTTTTGTGATGTTAGGCATATCATCTTCTTAAAAGCTTTTTTTCTATCGTAAACTCAATGTATATTTTGCTTTTGCCTTGAACGTTAACCACAATCTCCACTGCACATGCTCACATCGTTCATACCATAATGAGCGTCTGATTGGGTGTACAGAATAGAGAATAATGGTAAAAAATTAAGAATAGGAATAATGGGGTGCTCTCATATAAAGAAAAGAGAATAATGAACAAATGTTTTTTTTTAGAGAATATGGCCTTGAAAATGAAGACCCCCTGACAATACCCTCTAGAATTGACATTCAATAATTATTATCTCTCTATTTTATATTTCAATAAAACTTGTCTTCAAATATATATTCCTTTGTAATATCCATTATTAATCAAGACTATGCATATTTCAAACTTTTAATTCTAATGGGCACCCTCTGCGTCGATAAAATTCATGTTTGAACAGTTTTAATTATCCTTCGAATCATTAAGCTTGATCAACAACTTCCATTAAGTTATCATTATTGTTTGTTAGAAGCTCCCTTACAGTTCTTCGTACTTTTCAAACTTGGTTACAGTAGTCTAAGGAGGCTATTGTTTTCGTCGTGCGTTTCATCCTATCACCTATAATATGCATAATGACAAATGATTTCATAACTTAAAATCCTCATTAAAAGTTTAAAAATAAGGTTCCATTTACTCAATTTTTGTTGACCTATGGCGGTTCTCGCTGTACATTTTGGTTTCTTGTCTTTTGTTGATTCCATTTCTTTCAAACGTTTAACTCTGTGTTTGGAGATTAATCCTGAATAGCGCTTCGAGCAAAACTAAGAACGTACGACGACCATTACCAGTGTATTTGCGATGTTTTATTTGCTTTCCCTAGGCCTCGCAACGACGTGTCATTATTTCGACGTTTGTTTTATATTTTATAATAAAATAAAAACACCACTTTGACTGATTTTTACCACAAAAACGAAGTTAGTGATCCTATGATTATTTTATATCATTTGAACGGAAATTTATCTGGCAGTATCACGCCGATTTAAAAGAAAATCTATGGAATAGGTATTGTGCAGGATCGAGTTATTAAATATAATTTTGAAAAATAGTTTAGTTAACGAAATAATTTTTTCATGGTTTTTTTTGTAAGATTTAAGTTGCAGTCAAACATGTCAAAGTTGTATGTAAACTTTAACAAAAGCTTGTGACATATCCCATTTACTGTTCCTTGACTATTAACACTCTATAATAATTCTTATAACAGGAACTTAGGTTATTCTTTTGATCTTTAGATATTTAAAAACTTGTTTTGACTTGTCGTGTTATAAAAGATGCAGATTATTGTTTCGGTGTGGTGGTGGTTTCAACAATTCTTCGACACAAGCCTTTATAATGTACTCGGATTCATATATGTGTTTCCCCGGAAGAAATCAACGCCTTCAATGTTTTATTTTTTCTGAGCTATGTTTGAATTTTCATTTGAAATGTTACCATTGTTAGAATAGTTTTGTTACATACCGTCACCATCATCTTGCTCAAGTACCCCTGGGTCACTCTTGACAACATGAACCAGCAATTCTATATTTCCCTGTGCTGCTGCCTTATGTGCAAGACATCTTTCTGCATCTATATCACATTCAGATGAACCATCTGTAAGAAAATCTGTAGACGTTAAATATATTGCAAAATTGTTTGTAACGTTCGTGTTGATTGTATAACGCCACAAGATTTATGGTATCAATTCCACGATTGAAGGACTAAAACTGCGAGCGTAAGCGGAGATGTCATGTGAATGATTCTAAAATGTATGATTTAGCGGTGTTTTCTTTCATTTGCATTAGAATGTAGATAACAGTATTGTATTTGAAGAGATGTGGGCATCACTTTTTGATTTGATGGTGGCACTTATTCGTTTACTGACGGAGCTTATGCGTCGCCAGTAATATCGATTGATGCCCGAAAATCTTCAAATACTACACTGTTAAGTCCTGATTCATCCTGAATCTGTTCAATATCCATTCTGCGATGTCTACGTTAATACTGTCATGGAATATAACAGAGCTAGCTGGAAATAATGTTACAATACTAAATACCACAACCAATCAAAACAACGAAGAGGAACTGGCAATTTTCTTTGAAGTTTATTTCAATGACAGGGACATTTATTAGGGAGAGGCGAAAGATACCAAAGAAATGTTAAATCTCATAAACAAACTGACAACGACATGGCTAAAAGCGAAAAACGACCAAAAGACAAACAACAGTATACAAAACACAACATAGAAAACTATAAAAACTGAGCAACACGAACCCCACCACAAACCAGAGATTATCTCAGGTGCTCCGGAAGGGTAAGCATTTTCTTAAGTCTTTGAATTTTTACTAAAATTGACAGTTTCTCGTCTTTCTTTTTGAATTTGATCTTATTCAACAGTTCTGCAATATTTCTGAATCTTCAATGGAATTGTAAAAGTTAATAGATTGCTTAAAACTTGGATATACATTTTTGAAAAGTTTGAGTATTGGTCTACAAAAATGTTTTTTTAATAGGAAGGAAACACAGAACCATTTGCACAAAATGAAGAAAATTAAATTAATTCGTTTTGATTTAAAAGATACAAAACCTCAAAACAAAATTAAATAATGTTAAATATTCTTTCAAAGTTGTTTTTGTCAACAACGGGTAAAGTGGTATACGATTTTAAAATCCAACCGCAGTGGATAATATTCATTGAGCCAGAAAAAGGAAAACAAGAGGATAGCGGCCATTCAAAGGAAAAACATAAATATATTTTGGGGTTGAATGATGAAACAAGTATTGACGGTCGGATGTTGCATACGTAGATACGGGATGATGCTAATTTTCTTTACATATTTGTCGACATCTTTACAAATGCAACAAATCAAAATATTATTCTGACCTGGAAATTGCAAGATAGATCTGAAATTATTCACACTACACGGAACATAAAATGTTTGTATCTGAAAAACTACACAAAGCTTTACACTCGGTAGAATTTTGGCTTTGGTTTAAGGTATCCTTCTTCTTTTTATGCTAAAATTTTGCTGAAATTGATCAGAAGTGTTTCGCCATTCGTTTGCATTTATGATTTGATTAAATGTGAAGAACTTTTGATATAATGATGTTAAACCTCAAAGTACACACAGAAATAGGATATTGTGAATATTAATTAAGATTAAAAAGCTCCGTTGATGAAATAAATACAAGGGGAACCATTTTTATTCATTTCTCCTAGAATTCAGTTGGAAAAATGCAAAACAGAAAGTCTATAAAATGTGAACTTCTCAGATGTAAGTATATGTGTGGTGCAGATTGTCTTAGAATATACAATAAAAATTGAGAATGGAAACGGGGAATGTGTCAAAGAGACAATGTATGAAATTGCCAATAGTTCATCAAGATTGTCTTCAATGGCAATTTGTAAGATTGAATATCATTAGTAATCCATCCCACAGGGTTTCGTCATCCTCCATATCGAATATCTGACTTAAACATATGCAGAGTGAAATGGCAGCTACAATTTCATTTCGGAACCGTAGTATTACAAAATGCATCATTGTCAATAACAAAAATGATAAAATATATAAGATCTATGTATAAACTTATAAAGTTACTTCTTTACCCCGAAACAATTCTAATTTACCTGCCATTATTAACTACATCCGTTAGTTTAAATAAATAAACGTGTAGCTAGGTTCAGTAATTATAAACGATATAAATTAGACGAGGGTCGGTCAGCTGATCTTTCTTGTATTTATATTTGAATCATTTAACAATTGTTCATTATTCTATAAGTCGTAAAGATGTCCCGATACTCCACTCAATACACACAAGTATGTTCATATCTATTCAATTAGCCAGGATTTGTATTTACATCTAGGACATGTTAGACTTCAAGGCGTACAAGAGCCTCCTTTATCGTGAAATTTAACTTTTTTTAAATTATAATTTTTGAATTTGAAAACGGAACAAGGACAATGATATCTTGATAAAAAATCAAATAAACCTTACCATTGTTTCTAGTTTTAGTGAAGTTTAAAAATCCATAAATAGCGTATGACAATATATATTTAAACATCGAAATTACGATACTCAATAAACAATTTATGATTTTGTGTACGGAGAGAGAGAGAGAGAGAGAGAGAGAGAGAGAGAGAGAGAGAGAGGTACTGCTACAGTCCTCACTGAATAATTCAAAGTCTGATAACTTTGTTGATTCGTATCTTTTCAACAGAAATTTATAATATGTTCGGTTAAATGGTAATTTTTTACGACAAATAAGATGATTTAAATTTTCACACAATGAACCTGCAATTTCTTTGTAGCAATATTCAAGCCGCATATATTTCCGACTTAACATAATAAGCAATGGCATGATTTCCTATCATGGTTTTCTTCATGGAGAGTTGCTACTTATACAGGGAAGTTTTTGAACCAAGGCTTCAATCAAGAGTCATCTATAAAAAAAATCAAAAGAATACATAATGGTTTGGTCATACGGCTGTATGATTGCTGTATCGCCGTATGTTTATTCAACAGGAGCAACATAACAGAAGTCACTAGCTGATAAAGAACTCTTCGGATGCACCTTTGATTTTAAGTTGGGTTCATGTTGCTCAATCTTTGCTTTTTTTAAAGTGTTAGGCGGACTTTTTTTTTTATCTTTTAACCACGTTTTTGACTGTCTGTTTTCGTTTTTTTATTCCGCTTTGATATCCTCCAACTATTTAATACTAGGTGGTAGATAGAAAATGGGACAATAGATTTTTCTTTTGCAATAAGTTTATTATTTTCCATAATTTAAATGGACTAACATCAAAAGTACTTTAAAAAAATATATATATACATCAAAATAGAACCAAGGGAAACATAAACTGATACATATCACGAACATTTCCTACAACATATTGCCAAAGACGTGGATATGTTTTAAAAGACAATTAGAAGTATGCGAATGAGAATAATCTTAAAGAAGAAAATCAATAAAGTGAAGTTAATTTAACTAAGATTAAAGCTAAATGCAGCAGGAAAATATTAGAAAAAATATATTGAAATTAGCTATTGATTCAGGAAACAAAGCTAGCAAACAGGAGCATTAGCGAAGCACGTCATTTAAAAAAAATAAGGAGATGTAGTTTGATTACCAATGAAAGAATTATCCATAGACCAAAGGACAAAGATGTGAAAAATTACAGGTCACTGTACGGTAGGGCCTTCAACAATGACCATCTTCCTGAGTATGCATGAAATATTTGCCACTGGATGTAGAGCAAACAACAATAAATCAATCAACAATAAGCAACAACAAGATAACCAACACCATATTTACTCGTTACCAAGATAATAAAAAACAAAATTCCAAAGAGAGTAAAGTAATATATATGACTAGAAGTCTTTTGTTGTCTGTGTTGTTGTTTTGCTGTCTCATTGGTGTTTGTCCCGGCCACGTGAATTTGCTCTAAATCCTATCATTGATACAAATATTGAGTTTCCAAATCGTTACTATGGAAAAAAGCACAACAGCAAACATAGAATAAAAATTTAGCGGAATTTTTTAAAGAATAAGGGAGAGAAGATACCAAACGAGAAACTGGTAATTGTTTTACAGATGGAAGATGGAATAAAAATAGAAAATAAAAATTTGATTCCCCTAGTTGTTACGCCATTATAGGTTAACCAAACAACCTTCATAATATATAATCAATTTGATGTATGAAGGAGTTAATAAATAATGAAGCAGCAAATACGTCTAAGGGGCCAGCTGAAGCCCGCCTCTGGGTGCTGGATTTTCTCGCTGTGTTGAAGACCCATTGGTGGCCTTCGGCTGCTTTCTGCTCTTCGGTCGGGTTGTTGTCTCTTTGACACATTCCCCATTTCCATTCTCAATTTTACTACAATGTCATACTTATTTTAGAGAAATTTTGTATTTAGAATACAAAGAAAGGAAGACGACAATTAAGAATGGAAAGGTTTAAAATTCTAATTCATGAAAGCTGATTTATGGAGTCAATCTGTGATCCCATGGATACTGTGAATATTATCAACTTTTGATACATTCTTGTAAATTTTATATGTCTTGGTATTTTTGCATTGAAGTACATTCATAATCAAACTTAATTAAATTGTATCTGGAAAACAATATGTAGCTTTATTTCTAAAGAAATTTGGGTTAGATATGAATGTTCGGATTATTTTCTTTGATAAATATTATAAAAATTGTCAAAATCTATCAAATAAGCTCATCATAGATACCAGGATTGAAATTTTATATTTACGCCAGACGCGCGTTTCGTCTACAAAAGACTCATCAGTGACGCTCGAATCAAAAAATATTAAAAAGGCCAAATAAAGTACGGAGTTGAAGAGCATTGAGGACCAAAATTTCCTAAAAGTTTTGCCAAATACAGCTAAGGTAATCTATTCCTGAGGTAGAAAAACCATGTTAAGGCAATGCTAACCAGGTTACATTCTCCGAAATATGTCATTCGTTGTAAATACATTAAATGTACATACTATGGATACTGTGAATATTACTAAAGATCAAACAAACTTTTTGAAATTTTGAAAATGGTCCTGACGTGAAATATATTCAGGGTAGTTTGAATACACTTTGATTTAATCATCACTTAGGTCTAAAGTCATACCTTCATAGTTAAGGGAGAAACATTTTCATTAATTAGCTACAGAGATAATTGATTTTATCTATTTTGTTTTGCACAAGGAGTTCAGAGTTCGTGTTGTTTGATCTTTAGTTTTCTGTTCGGTGTTTTGTGGCCTTGTGGTTATAAAAGTTTACTAATGAACACTGAAAAAGGAAGTCTGGTAGAGAGTTGTCTTATTGGCAATCATACCACAGACAAATTCCGAGTACGATTATCGTACTCAGACTTTGAATTTAACCAATCAAAATACTGAATTTGGTGTTTCGAGTACAAAGGAGTAGGCCCAGTAAGACCCCTTTTTGGCCACAAAATATAGCAGTTTTACAAAATTGTTAAAATGTAAATTTTAAGCTATTTATTGGAAAGAAGAATACTTCTGTTACATAAATATGTGCTGTTTTTGACAATACAATGCACATGTATCGGGTACTAGCGTCATTAAGTCATGCTAAATTACTGAAATCTTCGAAATTTTCGCATTTTGGTTAATTTTAGACGGTTTTCGTCTGAAATGGAAGTGGCCGCATTTGTGTTCATTCTTAATATTTAAATGTAAGTTGTATTTGATGATAATACATAACATATATAAAGGTTGAGAATGAACACGGATGCGGCCACTTTCATTTTTGACAAAAACCATCTGAAAAGTGACATATTATGGCATATTTGATAGATTTTTCATATTTAAGCTTGAATTTGAGCGTCTTTAATGACTAAATCAGTTCAAATCTTTCACATAAACTAATTGAATCGACTGAAGTAGACACTTAAGTGTTTAAAAAGTGTCCAAAATCTTTCATCAGATGAACCTGAATTTTGAGGCCAAAATCGGCCCTTACCGGACCTACTCCTTTTGTATACCGAGTACTGAGTTAAATTCTATGATCGAGAGCCCTGGTGTATGTCTGTATGCCTTTCTTCGACCAATAGTTGCTTAAATCTACGTTATTTGGTTTCTGGTGCATTGTTGTCTTTAATATAAGATATCATACCACATCTTGTTTTGATATAATGGCTTATGATTGACTCTTGGTATGTTCTAACTTTTTTATTCTATTATCATGTAATACAGAATATTACTGATGAAGGTAAATCCAGAAAAGCGCTTCGGACGTGTTGTTTTCATTTCTTTTACAGTTTATGAAACGAGGATCAAGGATTTCTAAAGTAACTATTATACAAATCCTGCGAAGACAATGTAGTATTCATACTAGGATATCAATTACTCGATTAAATGTTTTTGCTCTCATTTCTTGTCTATTTTTATCAAATTTTAGGACAAATTTAATCTATTCTTCAAAGCAATCGAAACTACGTATTAACTAAACGAATATCAGTTAAGCGATCCATTTCGACACACTGATTTCCATATTTAATCAATTCAAAATCACATTTCATTCACGTAAACAAACAGTTCAAAGAATTGAATATCCACGTTCGAATAGGGATAGAAACGAGTGACAGTTAGTATAGCACTATAAAATAAAGATTAGCAAGTGTAGCAAATATCAATAGTATCAACAAATAAAACAAATTAGCAAAGAAAAAATCGTAATCTTACCCGTATCATGTTCTACGGAATCCGACGGGAAGTCCATGAGTTTTCATGACATCGTGGTACTATGACAGGTAGAATTAATCAATATCAGATATAAACAGATTCACAGCCAGGTAATTATTGCCGTAAACATCAAACCTCCATATCGACGATTATTCATAGCTTTCTCAGCTTTTTTTATATAGTACGATGCTTATTAATGATTTATACTTAATAAACATGACACGTAATTAAAACGGTACTAGATATGGTATAAACATGCTTAAATAAGTGCTGAATCTGATAAACTCTGTCTACATAAGGACGTTATATCAAGTCATCTGACCAAATAAAACCAAGAGCATTTCAGAAATAAGCATATTCCTTATGATATTATATTATCAGGATTATGATTTTATTTAAATAGATGTTTAAAGGATAATTGACAATTAAAAATAAGGGAACTAGCAAAACCAATATTATTACTTAAAATATTGTTTCGTTTCGTAACAAAACGATAACAGAAAAATAATGTAAAAAGAATGTAAAAAAGAAAAATCATGCAAATAAAATTAACTTTTTATGATGTAGATACAAACTGATTACAAACATAATTCTGGAACATTTCAGCCTAGCAGGGCGAAAATGTAAAACATTTTTTTTTCATTTACTAAATATAAAACGTACACACTACGTGTGACAAATCCTGCAAAGTACTTTAACATGATCGAACTTAAAAAAAACAAAAGACTTTTACGATTCTGTAATTCTGTAATATACATTATTTAAGTGACATGGCTGTTTAGTAGCTATAATAGTACTTCTTTATAACAATTTGGTAATTCTACAAAATAAAAAGAGGAGGAAGGGAGGGGGAAGGAAGTAAAATACCCTTTTTAAAATGAACCAACTACCTTTACATGCAAATTAGTTGGAGTCGATGTATTCGAAGGAAGAAAATTACAAGAATATATGTACAGACCAATTGAGACATAAATCTAAAGCTTTGGGCAATTCAAAAATCAGCCACAACAAAACATCTGTAGCGAAGAGTTGATTAAATGCATAAGAGACGCCAAATATGTTATGAAGCATGAAATTTCTATTTTTCAGATTTGATATACAAACTTTAAAACACTTTCAAACTTTTTAAGGGAAATACACAATGTATGATCATCGAAGTGCATACCAAGTATCATTAACCTATCTTTAGTGATTCATGATCATGTGGTCAAAACGCAAACTTAAATAAGAAGGTGTGAAATTTCAAAGTTCATTGAAGTTAATTGACAACAGTGTCTAAATAATGAAAAAACGCAAGAGTATACGACATATCATTAGCATCTTATGTGGCTATAGTCTTTCACAATTTGTGCTGCAACCACTACGTCTTGCCTTCTGTCCATATTGATTGATTAGTTGTTTGTTTTATCTATAGTGGCAAATATTCCATGCATGTTGTGTCTGGAAAGACAAACATAATATCCCTAAAAAGTCTTCCATGACATTCACCCAATCCCCCCAAACTAATGAGAAAAATCATTCATTAATGCATTAGTAAATTATGTCATGTTCGAATAAACATGTGTCTAGTTTATATTCAAGATTGAATATTTGAACCTATGATATCCCAAAAAGTACAAAAATGACTGATGCTTTAATGTGAATACCATTACACAACTTCAGAAAAGTGCCAAAGGACACAGGAATGTCCTGTATAAGACAAGAAAATCAATATCGTACCATTAATTGATTAAAAAAACTTACGGCTGATACAAAATTTTCATAAATCTGAGACACCACTGTAATGGTTGATTATGCAGAACAGCAATATAACTATGATCATAAACTAAGAACTCACTCAGTCAATATGAATTTACAGTGCTGGAGTAAATATTGTCATAGTTGATTATGAATATTGAATATTTTTTGTCTCTTTTCTATTTCAACAAAGTAAAATTCTGAATAAAAACATTTCATATAGATTTTAAATATTCACGGAAGAATAAAAGAAAGGAACGAGGATATTTTGAATATAATCTCACGCAATCAATGATTTTTACAAACTTCCATTATCGGTAATTTTGTTCATTTAATTTATGATTTTATTACAACCTATTAATTGTTTGGTTACCTTTAAATGACTGCATGTAATATGTATATGTCTTTTATTGAAAATTATTTGTATATATCATGTTCCTTTCTAAAAGAAATTACTTTTGAATTTTAATAATCAACATATAAATGTTTGCCGATCAGATATCATATATAGGAAGACGCTTGCAAAGATGTAATTCATACATCCAGTACTATTTGTATGGCTAAATTATAAAAATAATTATTTTCCAAACTGAAAAGCACTTATATTACATTTTTTTTTATACGTGAACATTATATTTTAAATCAGGACTACGATGCGTAAAATATCCTCTTAGAAAATTATTTCTTTATACATCCGTCAACATTCAACTTGTTCTATGAATCTTCAACAAAACATACAAGTTTTACCTTGTAAAATGTAAGTGAACTTGAATGTATACATCATGTATCCTATATTGAAAATTTCCACAAATTTTGTCAAAAATGAAACAAACAAAAAGACATCTTCAAATGAACATCTTTCGTAAATGTCAAAAAACATTTTATCAATAATACAGGCTTGTAATTTTGTGCGCCAAACGCGCATTTCGTCTACAAAAGAGATCAAATATTAAAAATAGAGGCTCTCAAGAGCCTGTGTCGCTCACCTGTATCTACTGTGGTTTTGGAAATCATGTAAAATAAGGTTAAAATCATAATAAATAGTATTAGATACCATAATAATGATTGAGGCCAAGTTTGGTTTAATTTGGCCCAGTTGTTAAATTTAAAGCATGTCATCCCATTGTAGTCTTACAATAGTTACTGAAGACCCCTTATCATTATTTAAATTAGTTTCAAGTTGTGACCATTTGATATTGTTTTTTTACAATTTACCCATAGACTTCTATAGTAAACCCCTATGTTCTATTTCTAGCCATGGCGGCCATGTTGGTTGGATGACAGGGTCATCGGATACATTTTTCAATCAAGATACCCTATTAAAAGTGTGGCTAAGTTTAATTCTATTTGGCCCAGTAGATTAGGTAGAGAAGATTTTTGTAAAAGATTACAAAAATTTACGCAAAATTGTTAAAAAATATAAAGGGCAATAACTCCTTAAGGGGTCAATTTACAAGTTTTGTCATTTGACTTATATGTAGATCGTTCTTTGCTGAGAACATTATTGCTGTTTACAGTTTATCTCTATCTATAATAATATTCAAGATAATAACCATACACTGCAAAATTTCCTTAAAATTACCAATTCAGGGGCAGCAACCCAACAACGGGTTGTCCGATTCGTCTGAAAATATCAGGGCGGATAGATCTCAACCTGATAAACATTTTTAAACCATATCACATTTGCTCTAAATGCTTTAGTTTCAGAGATATAAGTCAAAAACTTCATTTTACCGCTATGTTCTATTTTTAGCCATGTCGGCCATGTTGGTTGGCAAGCGGTGTCATCGGACACATTTTTAAAACTAGATACTCTAATGATGATTGAGGCCAAGTTTGGTTAAATTTTTCCCAGTAGATTAAGTGGAGAAGATTTTTGTAAAAGATTGCAAAAATTTACGAAAAATTGTTAAAAATTGACTATAAAGGCAATAACTCCTTTAGGGGTCAATTGACAATTTTGGTCATATTGACTTATTTGTAGATCGTACTTTGCTGAACATTATTACTGTTTACAGTTTATATGTCTCTAAAGAGCGTGTGTCGCTCACCTTGGTCTATGTGCATATTCAACAAAGGACACTCTCCAACATTGTAGACAGGAATAGAATTCATGACAAAAATCTGTTTTGTTGATCTTGTATTGCTGATAATTTAGCCTATTTAGTTTCTCTCTATCTTCTTTAGTTTTTGCTCAAAAAACAAAAGAGGATAAAAAAAATCCTCATTTAAGGGCAATCACTCCTATAAAGAGTGACTGTCTACTAAGCTATATCGGCAAAGCAAAATTTGACTTGTTAGTAGATCTTTACTTGCTGATAATTTTTGTGATTTAAAGTGTATCTTTATCTATTATAATTTTCTATCATATATGGCAAAACGCAAAAAAAAAAGGTGAAAATCGTCTTTAAAGGACAATAACTCCAATAAGGAGTCGTCTGACCATTTCCTCCATATTGTCTTCATTGTAGATTTTGTTTTGCTGATCATTTTTGCCTAGCTAAGTTTCTATCTGTCTATTATAATTTTAAGATATAAGGCAAAAACACAAAAAAATGGTCAAAATCATCATCAAAGGGCAATAACTCTAATAAGGAGTCGATTGACGATTTCGACCATGTTGATCTATTTGTAGAACTTGTCTTGCTGATCATTTTAAAGTTTCTCTGTATCTATTATAGTTTTCAAGATAGTAGGCAAAAATGAAAAAAAAATGGTAAAATTCCTGTAAGAAGTCATTTGACAGTTTTGATATGTACGGACAATTGGTAGAACTCAACATTCTGAACATTTTTGCTTTCGTCAGATTTATAAATATGACCATATAAATGATATTTCATGCCAACACAGAAGTGCTGACTACTGGGCTGGTAAAATCCTCGGGAAGGAAACCTCCATTAAAAGAGGCATCAACCCAGTGATTGAAAAAACCATATCAAAGATACCAGGCTTATAATTTTGTACGTCAGACATAAACCCTGATTTCGATCATTTCTTTTAACGTGAGACTGCTTCAGACTAATCTTCATACAGTTTACTACTTCTACCGCAAGTTCTAACCAGCAGTCAACATTCCCACAGTGCCTGCATACGGAGTATATATCTCCCCATTGATACGATATTCCCGAGCTTGTATTTCCTATCATGATTTCCTTGATAGAGGGTTGCTGCTCACAAGGAAGCTATTAAACCAAGAGTTCCAAATGGTGAAGTTGAAATCATCCCTTCGTAAATTTTACGGACGCCATCACGAATTGGTTGACCGTTATGGAATATCCGTTTCACATATGATAGCGGATATGTTCCTAATGTCGTTACTACAATCCCGTTCCCTTTTCACGAATGTGACCTACCGAATTAGACTATTTACCGGGTTTGTACTAACATGAGCAACACGACGGGTGCCACATGTGGAGCAGGATCTGCTTATCCTTCCGGAGCACCTGAGATCACCCCTAGTTTTTGGTGGGGTTCGTGTTGCTTAGTTTTTAGTTTTCTGTGTTGGGTTTTGTGTACTATTTGTGTGCCTGTTTGTCTTTTCCTGTTTTAGCCATGGCGTTGTCAGTTTATTTCGATTCATGAGTTTGAATGTCCCTCTGGTAT